TATGTTCTCCTCAAATGAAAACATTCACATGGATGGCGTATCTGATATTGCTGGAACCACTAATTTTACTGCTCCTTAGCATCAAATCGAGCACCCTAAAAAATTTTAAATATAAATTTTATAAATAAATTTTATACTTAAAAACATTATATAAACTAAAGCAAAGAAAGGAGTTATTAATATTACAAAAAATTTTAATAACATGTACCGTTAACCACCATCTTTTTAGCCACTGGGGAAATGGCTCAGAACAAGCGGTAAGACGTTGGCATAATTCAGGTTTCAAGACTTGTGCCAGTTCATCATCGGTTCTCACACAAACCAAGGCAGCAATTAATGCACCAGCACTGGTACCAGCGATAATTGTGGGCAAGCTATCAGCATCGAATAAAGCTTTAACGACACCAAGATGATAATAATCGAAGCATGCACCACCACTGAGGCATAAAGCTGTTCTGCCATAATTTTTATAAGTGTTTCTAAAAAGTTTACGTTTTTCTTCAAATGGCAAACTTTTGGTGGTCCGTAAAACATCAAGGGATTCAGCGGCTAAAATATACACACACACATATATATAGTTAAAAGATTATAGATGATTATGAAATGATTATGAAATGAATGAATAATCACCTTCATCATAATATTCTTCGACAATTTGTTTAGTTCCATAATAAGTTTGAGAATATAGCCTAACATTTTCAACACCAGCAAAGTTGTTCTTTATGCAATGTTGAAGAGCACTTTTTAACGTTGCTAAATTTTCGGTTGGACCTTGTTTTAAGTTCTTTAGATCTAGATTGACCTTTTGCAAAAGGTTAAAATCATAATATCCAAATGGAATTTCATATTTCCAGCTATCATAATCTAAATATGAATCAAGATCTTTGGCAGCAGCAATCCATTCATCATAAGTTGTAGATCGACGAAGTTTTTCACGTAGTAAATATTTTTCACCACGCCTTTAATAATGTAATGAATCAAAACATTAGTAACGTCAATAATAATAATAAACCTTGTAGATTAAAAATTTACTATATGAACCTACCATTGAACGCAATACTCCCAGATATTCACAATTTGACGTACCAAAATGTATAAAACAAGTTCGAATGTAAGGATAAAAAAAATAGTCAACTAAATTCGTCAATATATATATATATATATATATGTTGGTTAATATTTGTCAATATAAATTTGAGCAAAATCGAATCATTAACTTACCATCATGGGAAACCTAACGATATGATAGGAAACACCTTCAAATCCGTTTGGTACTTTTACTTTTTTCTTAACACTTTGATGGATCGGCATGAAATCATTCATAGCAGTAATGTGCTCCGTTGAAGCTTTATCAGGATCCTCAGCAAGAGCTTTTTCGAACGCAGCAATATGATTTTCATCAATATATTCAAGAGAAAATTCATCAGGTATATGTTGACTGTGTTTTTTTGATTTAGATGAATGTTTTCGAGAACTTCTCAGATTCGAAAATGCAGTCGTCCTTCTAGGTATTGACATGATTGACTAATTGTTAACAGAGATCTGATGCTTTAGGATGCTAAGATGAATTTATGAAATTTGGAATTGAAAAGTTTTTAAGAAAGAATGATTGTTGAATAAAAAAATGCTTATTCAGAGTTTATTTACAAAAAGTGATATAAAAAATTCGATTGATTTGAATTTTTGATTAAACACCAATCGAGTCAAGCTTGTTACAGGCAGATCAACTGCTTGTACTCAACGCAAATAAAAATCAAAAATATAAATATCAAACGAACTGTTCATTTAATATATATATAGATTTTTTTTTTTTTTTTTGCGGATAAATGTATTATTTACAGACGTTGATTGATTTTCAGGCGTTGATTGATTTTCAGAAGTTGATTGATTAACCACGCAAAAAAAAAAAAAAAAAGAAAAATTTAAAAGATTAAAAAAATAAAA